AATATATATATATTGTATATTTAATATTACATAGTTGATAGGCGTTCCGCGTCAACCGCGCCAAAGAGAAGACCACGTTAGATCGCCGGGGGCATATTTTTCGATGCGAATAGCGTGTTCGTCTGCAACCTTAGGGGTCCTTTAGCTGGAAATTTCAGCTCTATTCCATAATTGCGACCTTAAGAATTCATTCATTTCAGAATTTACTTATAGAGGATATTCGATGCCTTCATCATGAACAACCATGTTCGGCGACATTTGGCACCAGGTGGCGCCACTTTGTCACGACGGTTGTTTCCAATAAATTTGGTGTAAACTTGTGTATAGGGGTTATTTGGTGTCCTGATTACGAATATGACATACGCTTTTGGGATGCGCTGTCTAACGCATATTTTCCTCTCCTGGGCTCTCTCACTTAGGTACAGTGCCTAGGGGTAAGCTGTGGGAGGGGAGATACCTCGTTGGGCAAATTGCGCATCGTAGGGCAAGAAAAGAAATGAGTGAGATCGCAGTGTAATGGCTTGCTAAACTCTGAGCCTCCTCTCCCCAAAGGCTTAGTCCTGATCGCGATCAACCCAGTGAGAGGGCGCAGACGAGCAGAAAATAGGCGCCAAATAGCGCCAACGCCAAAAATGAATGTCATATTCGTAATCAGGACACCAAATAACCCCTATATACAAGTTTACACCTATTTGGTGGGAACACCCGCCGTGACAAGGCGCCTGCGTCAAAAATGAATATCGTATATGAAATCATGGTATTGAATTATTCAAAGGCAAAGTTTCGGCGAAACAAAATTTGAAGATTTTTGGCAGTAATAATGAAACAGTGAGTATCGAGGGTATGGAAAGGGCTTAGTTGTTGAAAGTATCAATACAATATAACCTCACAATGGTTCCTCTCGATCAGAGAGATCAACTTCTCACCGACGACATCTGCTATGGATGTTCACTTGAATTTGAAAAAAAATGCTGAGTATGATGAGTACTGAGTACTAATGAGTACTCTGAGGCAGGCATCTTCTCCGACATCGCCCAACGCTCACAGTACCCTTTGCTTCGATGCAACAACAGCTTGCGATATGTCGGGTCGTGATGCTTAGGGAAACTTTATTCATTTCATTTCTTCATTATTGTTTCATTTCATTTTTTCATTCAAACTTTGAGTCGACCTTCAAAAAGTCAAAATACGCATATTGCCATTATCATGGCCTTACTAGGTGCACATTAGTTTCATCTTTACTCGTTCCGACAATAAACGTCATGAATGTTCACAGCAGTATGCAATTCTGCTCACGCATGTTCTTGCACCTGTTCTTCAGCTTTCATCTATGAGATAAGGGTTATCCGATCGCTCCTGCACGCTTCGGCAAAATGGACAATGCCCTTCTTGTAAGACCGCCATTTCAAAGTCATCACTGTGAAACACCTGAAAGAGCTTCTTTATCATCAATTGGATGAGTTGCAGTGGGAAGAAACTTACCTTATTACACGATGGGCATTTCGAAACTGATATCGAAGGCATTTGATTGAAAAGAAACCGTGTTTTCAAGGGCGGCGGTAGATGAAGTACCACCACCTGACCTTTTTCCAGGCGCGCCAGGTCTTCCGCATTGAGGCAGACCTCGGCTGATTTCTTCTGTAGGAAGCAAAGTTGATATTCACGTTCAAAACTTCGATGCCTCTACCCGAAGTGAGGATTTCCGTGCGAAACAAATAAAACCTCATACGAGGAGACCACTATTGAGGTCATGCCCACACTTTACGCAGCCACGCTATGAAAACCTCGCCCGCCAAATATCCTCTCTCGTTCTGATGTCTGTGGAAAGAGTCCTTTGGATATCCTTATGGGTTGTTCTCTATCAACCGCCATACGTGTCTAACCATGAGCCTTATCAAAAAGTAACACTTATGAGTTCGCATAGTTCGGTATATTGATTCATGAGAATGCGCCATTTCTTAGGGTTCTGCTAGATTTCTGATGAGCTTCAACGCGATTACATTGTGCCGCGACTCAGGTGTCTGACCAGCCTGTGTATTCTGATGGTATTACTAACCGATGCAGTTTGGAAAGGATTGAAGTTAGACTCCGTCAATGGTGGCTCCGATTCGACCAACTTGACCGCCTCGTCAATAGGCAGATTCGGATCCACGGTGAACTCCACGAGAGGTAGAATTTCTGAAAAACAAAGAAAAATATATAATTGATGGAGAAAACTGGTGATACTCACCAAACGTAGCAAACGAATGTACAAACGCCGTCTTGCAGTGGATACAGTTCATTCCGCATGTGAGGGGGTTGTTGAATCCACATCTACAAAAGAATCAAGATGTGCCATGCATTCGTTACTTGTACATAGCCAGGTTGATTGAATTTGATAGTATGTTCTACTGGTTGGTGGAGCAGGATTATGTTGCACACCTCAATGGACTGACTTATGGGATCGTCAGCTGCTTCTGCATGCTCCTTGCACAACATATAACTATTGCTGTCGCATAATGAAGTCAGTGGCATTATATTTGGAGAAAGCGGGTTTGTTCCGTTTCCCGAAAAATTCAGGTTACCCGATACGGGGCCGTCCGGCGGCCAAAACAGACTTAGACGGGTCAGCGGACGAGTTGCAGCGAGTACTGTAATGATTTTGCGTAAAGTTAAAGGCACAACCCAGGCAGAGGTCGTGTGAACGCTTCCCTTCGGTCTGTAGTATAGACCCTAGAGGACAATCACAAATGTGGCGTTCCCGTGCACGGAAACCAACCGACAAGAGCGCTTGGGCCTTGCAAAGTAAGCTGCTGAAGCTGCAGATTTTTTCTCTTATCAGGCTGTTGTCTGGCGCTCTCTCATCTGTAGCGCTCTCGCCTCATACTCTCCTCCGCGCTTAGTCTCTCATTCCCTTAGCACAGCCGATTAGGAAGGTGAGTGAGCCTGTAACCTAAGCGTTTCCGACGGATTCTTTCTTCTTTTCTTATGTTAGGCGCTCAACCTCAATTAATATCCAAACTATTGGACCCACTACCCTTCAGTTTCCCAAAAGTGCTCAAGATAGTCAGTGCGCCTTCGAATGATCTATAGACTCAAGTTAAAACTTTCCATGCTAATTCTGGCAGATTGGCTTATGAAAGCAACAGGAGTCGCATGACCAAGTTCTGTTTTTTTTTTCAATACCTGCTCTGCAGCTAAAACAACACAAGAGCCGAAGTAAAAGACGTTTTCTAGTGACTTTTACTCGGGCATGAGTCAAAAGCAAAAATGAAACACTTCGCTGTTTGTAATTGAGCTGTAGTACAGGTGGAGAATCTAACCTGTGACATACAGGTAACAGATCGTCAGCATCCGAGAACGGTTTGGCTCTGATGTTCACCGTCATCAGTTCTACATCACGCTGAAGACGTGGTGGCACTCGTAAGCTCCCCAAACGATCAAGAGTATCACGTGCCAGCTTGTAGGCACCAAGTTCACGTCCTATACGAGCTATGGTGTAGCAAATAAGCCTGAAAGGCATAATCCATTGAGAAACGTGGATGAATATTTTTTAGTATCTCTTCTGCTCCTCTCCTAAGAATGAGAGACTAGTTAACCAGATAAGTCCACTAAAGAGTGCGGATGGAAGAAAGAAGAAATGCTACTGAGAGCGATAGAATTCCAACTTAAAGCTGAATTGATAACTAGTACAGGTTTACTTGGAGTACAGGTGAAATTGAAAAATTGGAAATCAGTTCAGCACTCACACTTGCGAAATATTCGGTACGGGTTGTTGAGCAGCAAGGTATCTGGCCATGTTTAGCAGAGTCTCAGGACTGTGTCGTGTAAAAGGTTGGTTCTGAAAAACACAACTATTTCAAAAACAAATATCTAAATAGGACGACCAGAGGGTCGAATTACAAAGCACTCGGCGTTCAACACTTCGAAGGATGCGCCACGCTTTCTTCTTACCCCTACAGTACCAGATGTACTATTACATTTCTAGCTACGTAATTACGTGAACAGAGGAACCTATTCTCTCGGCAACGGAATCGTGCCATTCCAAAAAAGTAACCCTAGCAAGATTGAATGCACTGAAGAGATCTGGACTTCGAGGTAAATAAGTGCCACAAGAATCGCTCCTCGCTCCTCCCGAGCTTATGGGTGGGTCGCGATTACGTCCTTAGGGGAATTCCCTCTGTGAGTCAGGTTGCAGCGTTACAGGGATCGTACTATTGTTGCGTCTTGGAGGAGCGCCAATACGGCTAGCACCCTCCCTTGACCGCTGCAACCGTAGCCGTTCTAATAAATCACAGCATTTGTGGCGCCTACCTACTCTGCCGTATACAGTACCAGTACACTGACTAAGAAGTGCAGCAGTCAAGAACTCAATTAGCTCATCAAAATTTGAAGGATTCCCTGAATGTTTCGAAGAATAAAGCAATTGATCGTAGGTTGGCCTAGGCAAATCGTGGTGCAGTCCGCATATTATTGCAGTCCCAGTATATAGCAGTCAAGGCGAAAGTGATGTAGTGGAAAGTGGCCCTGCTTACGACGACACGGTCAGCGCTACAAATCCTGAATCACACGCGGTGCAGGCCAACCAAGCCTTTCATCGCTCCGGTGTGGGTGTCCCCCAACAGGCCCACCGCGCGGCGAAGCAAGAGACGCAGACGCGGCAAAGGGACGAGTCGCAGCGCATACTGTAGCGGTTAGGCGTCAGGTTAAAGAGAGTGTACCATACTACGTCCATACCGCAACGCGCGGTGAGCCTGTTGGGAGACAAGCCTGTTGGGAGACACCCCTCCGGTGTAGGTAAGTTGGTACCAGGATTTTTTATTGGTGGATAGAAATATTGACCTGTACCTTGATCGCCCCACGGGTTATTGTATTTCGGGCAAAATGGACAATTGCCCTTTCTTGTAAGACCGCCATTTCAAAGTCATCACTGTGAAACACCTGAAGAAGCTTCTTTATCATCAATTCAATGAGTTGCAGTGGGACGAAACTTACCTTATTACACGATGGGCATTTCGAAACTGATATCGAAGGCATTTGATTGAAAAGAAACCGTGTTTTCAAGGGCGGCGGTAGATGAAGTACCACCACCTGACCTTTTTCCAGGCGCGCCAGGTCTTCCGCATTGAGGCAGACCTCGGCAGATTTCTTCTGTAGGAAGCAAAGTTGATATTCACGTTCAAAACTTCGATGCCTCTACCCGAAGTGAGGATTCCCATGTGCGCTCGAAACAGTAAAACTCATACGAGGAGACCACTATTTTGAGTCATGCCGAACACTGTTACGCAGCACGCTATGAAAACCTCGCCCGCCAAATTCCTCTCTCGTTCTGATGTCTGTGGAAAGAGTCCTTTGGATATCCTTATGGGTTGTTCTCTATCAACCGCCATACGTGTCTAACCATGAGCCTTATCAAAAAGTAACACTTATGAGTTCGCATAGTTCGGTATATTGATTCATGAGAATGCGCCATTTCTTAGGGTTCTGCTAGATTTCTGATGAGCTTCAACGCGATTACATTGTGCCGCGACTCAGGTGTCTGACCAGCCTGTGTGTTCTGATGGTATTACTAACCGATGCAGTTTGGAAAGGATTGAAGTTAGACTCCGTCAACGGTGGCTGGCTCCGATTCGACCAACTTGACCGCCTCGTCAATAGGCAGATTCGGATCCACGGTGAATCCAATGGAGGATTTAAGAATTCTGAAAAAAGAAAGTATATTATTGATGGAGAAAACTGGTGATACTCACCAAACGTAGCAAACGAATGTACAAACGCCGTCTTGCAGTGGATACAGTTCATTCCGCATGTGAGGGGGTTGAATTCCGATTGCTACAAAAATCAAGAATAGTTGCATGATTCGTTACGTTGCACATGTCGCCGGGTTTTTGAGGATGCATGTAATCTGCGGTTTTGGGAAGTTTACATAGAGAATAACAAGGCTAGAGTCAATGGGATTTTACAATAGGAAATGTCTACTGGTTGGAACATCGGATATGTAGCAGGACTTGTGTGCCTTGCATGTGTTGCACACCTCAATGGGCTGACTTATATGAACGTAAATTGCTCTTTGCATGCTCCTTGTACCACATATAACAATTACTGTCGCATAATGAAGTCGGTGGCATTATCCCCGAAAAATTCAGGCCATCCGATAGGGGCGCCGTCGGCGGCGTTAATATCAAACTTAGACGGAGTCAGCAGGACGAGCTTGCAACACTGTACTGTTAGTGATTTTCGCCCGTAAGTTAAGGCCGCAATCCAGGCAGATTTCGGTGAACGCTTCCCTCGGTCATGATAGTGCTATAGCAAAGTAAAGAGGCACAATTCAAAAACGATGTGCGATTTCTGTGCATTGAGAACCGAACGAACAAAGAACGGGGCTTTGCAAATTTAAGGCTTGCTGAATGGTGACCGTTTTTTTTCACTTATCAGGCATGTTTGTCTGCGCTTCCCCCATCGTGTTTAGAGCTCTGCATCAAATACTTATAATCTCGAAGCTTTGCTTATTTTCCACTTATTATAGCTATATAGGAATGGTGGAGTAAGCTGTGACTGAAGAGTTTCAACAGAATTCTTTTTCTTTTCTTATGTAGGCGCTTTGCTACCTCAATAAATATCCAATTTATTGGAACCACTTTCCTTCGGTTTCCCAAAAATCCTCAAAATAGTCAGTGCGCCGTCGAATGATCTATAAACTCAAGTTTAAAATTTTCCATGCTAATTCTGGCAGATTGGATTATGAAAGCATGACGAAGTGATCTGGTCTTTTTCAGTACCTGTTCTGCAGCTAAAACAACACGAGAGCCGAAGCAAAAAAAAGTTTTACAGTGGGCTTATTGCTCGGGATGAGTTTAAAAAAACAAAATAAACACTATGCTTCTTTATAACTGAAATGGTGTATAGTGCGCAGAATCTAACCTGCTGAAATACAGGTAAACAGATACGTCAGACCCGAGAACGGTTTTGGCTTGATTGTTCACCTGTCATACATTCAACATCACGCTGTAAGACGTTTGGTGGCACTCGCAGGCTCCCCAACGATCAAGGGTATCAGTGCAACTTTGGTAGGTCCATAAGTTACGTCACGATACGCATGCTTATGGGTAAGGCATAAGCACTGAAAGCAATACTCATCGAAAAGCGTGGTATTGAGTGTTTTCTAGTATCAACTTTTTGCTCTCTCTTCTGACGTTGAAGAATATGAGATAGTTAATCAAGATAAAGTCATGAGAGTATGGCAAGGGAAGAAAGAAGAAATGTTATTGAAAGCGATAGAATAAGAACTTAAAGCTAATTTGATAACTAGTACAGGTTTACTTGGAGATACAGGTGAATTTAAAACTGGAAGACCAGTGTTGAGCACTGCATCAAACTTGCGAAATATATCGTCGGCGTTGTGGCAGCGAGGTATTCTGGCCGATGTTGGAGCAGAAAAGCCCCAGTTCAGGGTAAAAGGTTTTGGTTCTGAAAAACAACTTTTTCAAGAGCAATATCCTAAATAGGACGCCAGGGGTTGAACACGAATGTACTCGGCGGTTAAACACTTTCGCAGGATGCGCCGACGACTTTATTCTTAAACCCATACAGTCGAGATGTTACTAGAAAATAATTAGGTCGGTCCATAAGTCTTGCAACAAACTGGCCGAATTTTGAATTTAATATTTTCATTATCTTTTTGTTCCATTCATCCGGCATGCTACCCTCCATCAATATCTACAACCTATTGCCAACACACTAGTAGCTGCTCGATGCCTCCCTTGTAGGACTCTACTGAATTCTGATCGAAGAAAGATCAGATGTCGATTTTGACATCATCATAGTTAGGATGAGCTTTCTTCTCTAGGAGATGGTTTGGAGAGGGGAGCAGAGAAGGATATTTTGGCACAGACGGGCCAGGGCTGATAAAGTGGATGCAGAAGAACTCCCCGTCCTAGAGTCTCAAAATTTTTCTGAATTTTCTTAGCAAGAGGTGGTTCAACGGGTCATGTCATACAAGAGCAAACTTTGCCTTGTTTTTCTTTCGTATTAAAAGCGTTGCATTCGAGCTGTGGATAGTTGACTTTCGCGTTGACTGCGACATCTACACGGAGGGGTTTCCAGAGCTTAACTCCTCCCGTGTTCCACCAAAAATCCGAGAAGGCCCTACTTGGACGAGGTTGAACTTAAGCAATAAGATCTCCCGAAGCGTTTGAGCTGGACTACCGCCGCTTGTTCATTTGTTAGTAAACTGTACCCACTCCTCATCTTCGGCAAATGTGATGGATGGTCAATCGTAGAATCCCTAGTAAGTCGACTTGAACATAACGGTGTCAGATCGTGTTTGGAGCTGAATCGGGCTCAAGGCACGTGGGGACCAAACTCTACATTTTCGGATCTTCACAAGTCTTTGGAGATGCCACAGTGCTGTCTCCTTGTCGCATCGGAATCGCTCTAGCAAATGATCGATACTCTATCCAGATCCCTTTTCAACGCCGTCAGATATAGCATCGTGATTGTCAGTCACAGGGTGGTTGGAGTGTGGGTTATTTTCAAATAAAAAAGTCAACGCTGAGCAGAGTGAAGCGCCGTTGCACTGTGGTTTGAGAGAGCTTGCCCTCGCCTATCTTCTGGCCAATCCTTGGTCTAGCATGACTTGCGGAACATTCCAAGCAGTACTCGTAAAAATTAAGGGCACCGAGAGCCCTCTCGCGAAATCGGTGTAATATCCATAATAAGTAAGCAGACAACGAGCTGGACCGTTGGCTGAAATTGCAAAGGTTGATGCTACGTCAGGAAATATGTTGCGGATTTTCAGGAGTTCTCCCTAAAATTCTATAGCATTAAATGTAGTTTGTTGCAAGACTTATGGACCGACCTAAATAGATTTCTAGCTACGTAATTACGTAAACAAAGGAACCTATTCTCTCCGCAAAAGGAAAGTCTCGTGGCTTCCAAAAAAAAGTAACCCTAGCAAGATTGAATGCACTGAAGAGATCTGGACTTCGAGGTAAATAAGTGCCACAAGAATCGCTCCTCGCTTCCTCCGAGCTTATGGGTGGGTCTCGCGATTACTTCCTTAGGGGAATTTCCTCTGTG